GATATAGTCCGCAAGATGATTGACAATAGTGGTTGATATCGTTAATTGTTTATCTTATTCTTCATTGTTTTGCATTATTCTTTTATTTGCAGTGCAATGCTAACAGAATCCGGAAGGATGAGTAATCGGCGTGATCTCGATGATGAACAATGACCAATTTGAACTAATAACTCGATGATGAAAAATGTCCAGTGTGAATTGGCAACTGAATAATGAAAAATGACCAGTGCGAACTAACTAACCAACTTGATGGTAAAGTATGAGGAATGAGTTCTGAATTGGATGAGCTGAAGCTGTTTCGATTGTAATTTTAGAATTTCATAATTGTCAAGATTGATATTTAACCAATTTCACTTATATTTGGATCTCTCAGGAGCTCATATTTCACCAATTTCTATCGAGAATTTATTCGAATTACTGAAAATGAATATGATAGAGAAAATTTCACGGATTTTGATTATGTTCGAAAGTGAATGATTAAGGTTAAGGTTAATTGATTAATTAAAGACTGATCAATAGTATTCAGTGTTCTATGAATCTGAAATTTAATGATTTCCACAACAGTAATAACTTTTATTTTACCGGTTCCTGACTTCTGATTATAATTTCGGATTTTTACAACTGCCAAAATTGATATTTGACCAATTTCACGATATCAATTTGTAGAAATAGTAATAGATATCAATTTGAATTTGACATGTATTTCCATTCAAAACTAGAGTTTGGAAATGAATCATTAAAACTAAGGTTAATTTAGACTAAGATATCAATGTTATTACTGATAATCCTGTTCAAGTTGGGCTTTGAAATTTATTTACCATTATAGTTAGTGTAAACAAGCTTGATTTTAAAACCTAAAATTTACTAAATTCATCCAACATACAAGACACAATATGAAAACAAAAAAAAAGCTAAATTACAATTTTAGTTTCTATAATTCTACATTTCCAACATCAAAATTAGTCTAAATTTTACAAAATATACTGATGCAAATGATTGCACTAAACTGTTTTAATTTAGTTTCAAATAAACAACAATATTTTGTAAATATGCTTGATCCGTTTTTTTTTCCCTCTTTTGGCTTGATCCGTTTTTTCTTCTTTTGTAAGATCAAACTTTCATATTGCGTTACAGTTAAATTGCAATTTTAACTCATCATTGTTAAGTATCACCCCAAATTTTTGTACAACATTGAAATAATACACCAAATTTATAGAGTGCCATTTAAATGTCACACCAAATTTGAGCGCAACATTTAAATATTACTCCAAATTTGGACGCAACATTTAAATATCACTCCAAATTTGAGCGCAACATTTAAATATCGTAGCAAATTTTAGTGCAACATTTAAATAACATTTAATTTAGTTTTCAGTATAATTTATTGATAACAATACTGATAACTTTGAAAATTTCTCAACCATATTTCAACTTCATCGTTTATTATTATTGATTGTCGCTTAAATACTTTTCCCCTTTTTTTTTAGCGATTAAGTTTGGAATTTATTCATTGTTTGTAATGCTTGCTATTTGCAATTTCAATGGAAATTGATAAGCAGAATAAAATATGACTGAAATAATTGTTATCATATGATTTTTTTTTCTTCGGAGATAGAGACGAATATGAAAAATTCATTAATTAATAAAGCTAAGTTCAATTATTAATGTTACGATATAGTATAATAATATATATTGGACAATATCATTTTGATACGGGGGAGCACCTTTGATTCGTATTACTGTGAGAATAGGTTATTAATCGACAGTTAATCGATAATTGGAAAATTGAACTTAATTATCAATTAACTACCAATTTATTACAGTATACTTGGTAACATTAATGGTTTCGATACTGATATGCCTCATTCATATCAATGTAAATGATCAAATTCATCTGAACGGAATTCATCTGTATGATGAACATATGAGCGAAGCACATATATTCGGTAATTTCCGGAATTCGTCCGATTATACTCCCAGAATGTGTAAATGTGGTATTTCAAAATTCGTCGAAATAGTAACAGGAAATAAATTACAATTGACATTACCATTTTATATATTTTCGTTTTCCAAAAAAGTTCAATGGAAAAACAGTTGAAAGTGGAGTAGAAAATTTTTTGAAAAACTAAAAGAAATTAAAAAACTTTCCCACGTTTTATCAATTATATTACATTTTTAAGCCAAATTTATGGATTAGAAATTAGGAATTTGGTCCAATAAATAATTTAATTTTAATTTTAATTTTATTAATGATTTGAGAAAATCAATATGCAAACTATTTGTTTATATTATATCGCAATTTATTTGAACCATTTGTAAGCAAAAATTTTCAAGTTAAATTAATTAGAAATATTCTGCCGATGCATTTGCAATATGCTATCGAAAAACAACCAAATGTTTGTAATGTAAGGATAAAAATATGTTGGTTAGAGAATATGAAAGCAATAAATATTGATAAATAATTTATTCTTATCAAGCAATTACTTAATTAATTACTTGAAATTAAAGATATTTTGAAAATTGAATAAAATAAAAAATATTGATTGATTAAAGAATAAAATTAAATTAAATGAAGTAAAATGTATGCAACAATTGGTAGTAATTGATTTTTAATAGCGTTAAAATTAAAATTAAAATTTTAAATTTAATTACCAATAATTCGTGATGTAACATATTGAAGTTTCATAACTGATGTTGGAGTATTTTCCGGCTTAGCTAATGTTGTCATTTGATTACTTGAGCTAGGCATTGATGTTTCCATTGCTAGCATTGTTGGTTTCTAAAAATTTGAAAATTAATTATTTACTCAATTAATTATTTCGTTATTTAATTAATTGGTTTTATTAAAAAAATTTCGAATTCTTTTGATAATAAATTATAATTTCCATCAATTCCTTTGTAATATATGATAAATAGGAAAAGATTACTAAAGATTACTAGTAATTTAATTATTTCAGTTTAATTCATACCAATAAATGAATTTAATAAAAAATTTAGTTTTATGTCAATTAATTTCAAAAATTTCAAACTTCTTCAAATGAAATTTCACAAATTTTGATAGTTATAACAATTGCTAAACCTTTATGACAAATCTCAATGATAAATTTATTGTTTTACTAAAAATATATTTGCAA